TTTGCTAAATAAATAGAGCAGCCCCGAGGTGCTGTCATGTCAAGGGAATTTATAACAAAAAAAAAAAAAAAAAAAAAAAAAAACTTCATTTCTCCTTGGTCATTCCTTTTTTTCCCTTCAGGACAAGAGAGGGTTATTACTGTAGCCTTAAGTTCCATCTTTGTATTTCTTGCCTTTGATTCCCACTCGGACCCTGCCACTTTCTGGCACTAATTTGTCAGGCTGAACAAAGGGAGGATTTGTACCTCCCGTAAGGTCTCAATTAGGAGTGGCTTCTGCTGTATTATGTGCCATTCAGGGAGGACACAATGCCGGTAATTACAGGAATTTGCACTAAATGGCTGAAGAATTCACAGCAAAACTCCCCCGCACCCCTCCTTGGGCTTATTCCTCCCAAGGACTTGGGGGGAAAAGGAAAGCAAAATCTCTTAATGCCAGAGAGATGTAATTACCAACAGCAGTCCCAAGAGGTTAAACAGCAGCCAAAGGAGTAAAACCATAAACCTGACAGTGTGAGAATAGTAGAGGGGATCCCCTCGGCTCACTATGTTTCTTGCTCTCTCTTCTGTTAGCGTTATTCAACTTCAGTCCATAATCAGGAGCACCGTCCCACAGTGGCCATCCGATATCACTCCCAGATTACAAAGCAGGAACAGAAAGAACGCTTTAAACGGTGAGCTTTGCAGCTCCCTCAGCACCTAAACGAGGCCCTGAGCCCTTTGATTATAGTACTCAATTGGTAGGTTTTTCGATTGCCAGGAAATTACAGGAAAAACAGCTGTATGTACTTGTGCCAAGAGAACCATGCATCTATCTACTGAAAGGAAATAGGTATGACACATGTCTAATTCCGGAAGAAAACAGGACTGCTGCCCTGTGATATAATTTATACAGCATTTTGTGAGCAACTTAATTTAGAACAACTTACAGGTATATACTTCATAAATATTTTAATAAGCTGCATAATCATTTGTTTTAGTATTAATTTTTAATTCCACAGGTGCCCCATTGCCAAACCAAATTTTGAATCCCAACCAGTAACTTCACTAGAGAATCGGACCTCATTTTCTTCCACAGAGGTGTTCCTGAAAAGCTGTACTAAAGCAGCACCAAATTAATTGTTCTGAAATACCACTTGCATGCATCATAAGCTCTCTCTGCTCAGGAACCTTCTGTGAGGGGCACCTGGGTGGCTCAGTCGGTTAAGCCTCAGCCTTTCGCTCAGGTCATGATCCAGTGGTCCTAGGATGGATGCCCCCCCACATTGGGCTCTCTGCTCAGCAGGGAGACGGCTTCCCACCCCCACCTCCCCACCCTTGCTCCCCTATCCCCGCCTACTTGTGATCTCTGTCAAATAAAATTTAAAAAAAAAGGAACCTTCTGTGACTTCAGGATCACATGTTCAGTTGAACCCTATCAAACTCCTTTTGTGGGTTAAAAATGACTAAATAGCTGCTATTTCATATAGTTGTATTGCCACCACCTAACTCTGTCACAGTGGCCATCTGACTCCTGACGTGCTGGTGTGATAAATGTCAGGCTCCCTGAGTAGACTGTAGGTTCCATGAGGGCAGGGACCACGTCTGCTTTCTTGTAGCAGAGACTTCTCCAGATGCACCTGGGTTTTTGGCACATGGGCAGAAACTCAGCCCGTGATAAACAGGAGAAGGAAGGAAAGAACTTCATTTCCAATGGCACGTTTTCAGGAAGAAGGAATGCAAGTGCAAAGGCCCTGGAGGCAAGAATGACCAAGGTAGGTTCCAGAACAACAAGATGACCACTGTGGCTGTGGCTTCCTAGCATAAGGCAGCCATGGAGCTGAGAGGAAGCCATGGAACAAACCACACATCATCAAATACAACTATAAAAAGTTCAAGCACATGTTAATAAATACACAGTTATATATAAGCATGTATTTTCAAAACCATAACCTCAGGCATTTTGGGATGGTCGTGGTCCATTTTCTCTGCAGGGGCTCCTTAAGTTTCCAAAAAGGGTATCAAAAATTCTTCACCTACAGAAAGAATTTGGTGAAAGAAGGCCAACTGCACTATAATGTAGATTTAAAAGCCAACATTCGTAGCTCGCCCAGATAGCAACCGAATAACATCATAATAAAGTGCTGCTCAGGGCAATCTTCCACTTCTAAAGTTTTTTCCTCAAATATATTTAAAGGGAATAAATAAATCCCCCCAAAAAATATTTAAAGGGGGAGGGACTAAGTGGACATAAAAACTTACATTCTAAAGACACTCACTACAACTGTGAAATACTCTGAATTAGTTTCTCCTTAAAATAGCAGATAATGCCAAGTTCAAATAAAAACAATTTAGTTAGCATTTTGATGTTTTTAGAAGGTAAACATACTATGCAACTAGATTTTTCACCAAATGGGTATTTTTGTAAGGATGAAAAGTTAGGGGACTCAAATACTAAATGCATACAACAGCTGGTTTAGATTAACTGTGCCTGTGAGAGATCAATTTTTAAAGTCCCATCTGCTCTAATAATCTTTAATATAACGAACAAGCTCTCAAGTAATTTTTAAAAACATTCAGAGGTTTGCCTAACAAGTTTTAGCCTTTTTCTTTTGAGACTCTGCCCCCTACAGGAGATGAAGTATTCCTACCTGGGGTAGGAAACCAGTATTCATGCTGCAATTAAGGAAAATGAAAAGCAACCATGTGTAGCACGAAGCAACCGAATGTAGCCTTTTCCAATGGAAGGGGTACTAAAATGAAGTTTAAAAATCTCTACTTTGGAATCCACCATACTACACAAATTAGGACTGACTTCTCCCCACCCCAGATTAGAAAACTACCCGCGCCTTACAGAACTCCAAAACAGAGCATGAAGGTAAGAGCTGAGCAGAGCAAATGAGTTTTAGATTTCCTTTCTCCTGCCTCCTGGGTTCCCTACTACCACCCAGGTAGCAGGCCAAACTGAATGAGGACACTTAGACAGCAAAGGGAGATACCCTACCACATGGAACCCACAGCAGCGGCCAAAAAGTTCTATCCCTGCCCATTATGTAATCCTTCCCTCTTTTTCTCGATTTAGTTTCCTTCTCCCTGCCTCTTCTACTCACCTTTGTCTTCCTCCTGTTTTCATTTCTCCAACTGCTAGTATGGGACGGACCTGCTGAATGGTACCTCTACTTGGATTTCTCCTTCCACTGAGTGCTAGAAACGCTGCTAATGCAGTCCAGAATGTGCGCAGTGCACACTCCATCAGGAAGCAAACTTACGAGAGCAAGGTGAATTAGGGGTCAACTATGTGACAATCCTTGTGTAATCCCTGAGACTTTTCTTCCTCCTTTTACTAGACAGTTTCCCAATTCAGCTATTCCAGTCTCTGCTTTGAAAACTAAGCAGAGCTATTTATTCTCCTTGACTCCAATAACACAACAGATTTGTTGACCCTATCAGCAATCCAAACCCACAGAAGTGTATCATAATTCCAGAATCTTCACAGAGTCAGCATCAATAAATTATTGTTGGATGACTGAACTTTGAAATATATGCACTGATATAAGACACTAAAGGGGAGCCTGGGTGGTTCAGGGGGTTATGCCTCTGCCTTCGGCCCAGGTCATGATCTCAGGGTCCTGGGATCAAGCCCCATATCAGGCTCCCTGCCCAATGGGGAGTTTGCTTCTCCCTCTCCCTCTGCCTCTCTCCCCACCCATGCTCTCTCTTGCTTTCTCAAATAAATAAATAAAGTATTTTTTAAAAAGAACACTAAAATGTCAATAATTTCTAAAAGCTGTGGTAAAGCTAGTATTCCCTTATTTCGAAACATTTTGTGAAAGTAGCTGGCTGACTTATCACAAGGTCATTCACGCCTGCAGATACATGCATATCACCTAGGAAGGCTTCCTTACCAGCTCAGAGTTGTTGGTCTCCCCTACCCAACTCTGCAACTTTCTGCTTCATAGTAACTGTGGCCCTCCAGAGAAAGCACGGATGATCCACTTAATTGCCTCTTTAGGTATATTATTTGTCAATAGAAAAGGCAATCATCCCAAATAACCTAAACTGAAATTTTCATCGTGCCACCACTATTTGGGTGAGACAAGCAAAAACTGAAAATTTGGTCTTGGCTGGTGGTGAGCTTCCTCTTCTTTTTTAAAATAACATAATTAAATCTGATACACTTGAATTAAAATCTTCCAAATCAGGTTTCCAATTAAATTACCTTCGTGGCAAATTTACCTTACGGATACACTTCTTGTCCAAACTGTGGGGTTTAGTGAAAGCAAAATAATTTCATTTAGTTTATAGTAGACATATAGATTTGGTTTAGTGAGGGTTTTATTGTCTAGTTTACTGGTTGGGGGAAAAATGAAAGGAATGGGAAGTAGGGGAGAGAAGCGATAATAGGGTTTTAAGAAATAACAGATGACTGGCCTTGAACTCTACTTTGTGCCTCACCCTTCCACAGCAGTTCTAGAAGCCCTGGCTTCCCCAGGATGAGGTACAAGCCTACCGTGACTCAGAGGTCATCTACTGAATCATCATCTACCCTGCTGTTAGCCACCTCCAGATTTTCTGTCAAGGCTGACTCTAGATTCTACCTTAAGAGGATTTGACAAGGTCATGATCAATGACAGTCACCATGAACATTTTTCTTCCCTAAGGAGTGTCAGCAGACAGCTTTGGGCCTGGATATCTCCTTTGAGACAATTTGTGACCTGTGACCTTTATTTAAGAAGACAGAGGAAACGGAATCACGGCAGACACAAGAAGCCTAAATGCTAGGCTGATTATGCTTCAGCGAAGTCATTTTGACTCAGTGGGGTATATCTTATCTGCTCCTACTTACGTCACCACATGGCATAAAGATAGATATTTTGATGTAGCGAACTCCTTGAAGCTTTTTAAACAAGAGACCCACTGAGGGCTGTGACTGGCCCACTGAGGGGATTTCTAAAGTGAATTCCAATGGTGAGATTCAGGATTGTTCTTTAATAAGCTTTAGACTAAACCTTTGCTTCATACCTGCACATTTGAAACTCTGAGCAGTGAGTCCTCGCTCCAAAGACAAAGTTGTAAGAATGCTGAGGAAGCTGGTGGTCACAGACTGACGTTTGTTCTTCCTGAGTTCATGCCCACCCATCTGATCCTTGGGTTTGCTTCTCAGGGTGACTTGCAGGTTTTGCTCTGAACTCCTCGCCACATTGGCTGCTGTTTTCAGAGCCTCCATCCACTCCTCGGCCCTCTGCCGGGTCTCTGCGCGGAGGCGGAGCACATCTTGGGGGAAGATGACTTGAAAGCAAGAGTCACAGTCGTCCAGGTTGTCCACCTGGACAGCCAGACACACGTCCACATGGTAGCTTAGCAGGGGGTCCTCATCTAGCTTGCCAGGCTGGAAAGCCATAAGGTAGGCTCTGCTCAGTACAAAAGTAAATGCCTTCCAGTTGTTCTGGACAGTGAGCCTGTACAGCGTCCCTGACTTGATGATGTTTTCGTATTGTTTGGGGCTATCCAAGACAGGGGATCGTGCGAGCAGCTCACTGGATTTCTTCTGTAAACAGTGATTCTGTGTACAGTCAACGTGATGACCAAGTCCCGGTGAGTTGGCCAGCTCATCCTGCCGCCCTACGTAACCAGGCACGGTGGCGTGCACGACTTCCCAAAGCTTCTGCCCCCAGTCCAAAGCCTCCCACGGTGATTCTGCCTTTAACTGCAGCTGAGTGTTGTCATACAGAACGGTATCCACCAGCCTGGCCTCGAGGTTGCCCAAAACAGATATGCTCTGGAAGTGTGAAAGCTGGTAGGTAGCACAGAGGGCTTGATTGCCGCTGCTGTCAAGGCTGTAGAAGTACAAGTTGTAGGGGGAGAGTTCTGCGTAACAGCTTTGCCAGTAACTGTCATGGTCCTTCCTAATCTCCAGGTACCCCTTCTTCAGAATGTTTGGGAATGCCTGCTTGTGTTCTAGAAAGGGAAAAAAAACAAAGAAGCAATGTGTATTAATTTATGAATATGAATGAACTCGATGAGATGAAAAGGCAGGTGCAAGAAACTAAAAAGAGATAGGAGAAGGACATGTTTCTGTTTCAAAGCAAACACAGTAGAAGCAGTACAATTTCAAGATAGTACAACTGACAAGCTGTAATTGGGGGGAAATTTCAGGTCTGAAAAACTTCACAAAGGTGGAAATTTGAGATTTAATTCAAATGTTACAATGAGTGTAAGATTAAGTACAGAGGGGGGTTGGTTTGAAATACCAGTGTGACATGCAGAGGTCTGTGTGGAAAACAGAAATACAGGAATAACTAGGATTATCCCCCATGGGCCCATGAAATAACTGTACTTCCCCAGGATTCCATGTTTTCTAGGAAACATTCTACAGAGCACCAAATACATAAGAAAGAACATTTCCTCCTGTCACTTGACCTAACCCCTTGCTAATATTCCCATCTTTCTTTGGGTTAGGAAAGCCAGGAAGGGTCAATGGAAAGGACAGAGTGACAGAGCAAGAAGTGCACCGCTGATAAACTCCTGTTTCTCAGACACCCCATTAGTCCTCAAGGCCAGTTCATGAGCCTTCTGTCTCAGTCTGCCCAGGCTTGACTCAACCGATTCGCTTTAGATCTCTGCTTACATAGCAGTTCTCTCTCACCTCTGAGCCTGGATGGGCTTACACGGTTCCTGCTGCTTACAGTGTTCCTTCCCACTGCTTCCCCCAGCTACCACACACTTACCCTTCATCACTTAGCCATCCTCTCAGGAACAGAGTCTGTCCTGACTCCCCCAATCCCTCACCTACAAACACACAGCCCTGGGTCAGTAACAGGTATCCCTATCATTCCTCTCTGATGGGTTCCTGTCAGGCTGTAGTATAATAGTGTATTTAAATATCTGAACAATTAAAATGAATTCTGAAGTTTTTAAAGAAGCCTGTCCTTCCCACTGGACTATAAGCTCTGCTGAGGACAGAGGAGATGTTTGTCTTTCAACCTTATTATCATAGCACATAGTACAATGCCTAGTATACAGGAGGCTCTTAAAAAGTACTTGTATAATGAGAATTATAGCTCCTAGCACAATGCTCAGCATATAGTAGGTATAATTTCTTTCTCTTCCCCTGTTTCACAAGTTTATCTGGTTGTGCCATCTTTAATCAATACTTAGCTGCAATGTATGCAGGTTTAGTACTTTAATAGAAGGAGACTGTCATTTGGGAGTCATTTGGGACTTCCTGATACTTTTATCAGGCGTGAAAATGACATCCATGTAAGAAGCAGCACCGCTCCCTGGTAGAGATTTCCATTTCTGAAATTTTCATTTCATTCTGTTTCTTAATTTCTTTACTAACACACATCAGAGGCAGTCATAAACTAATTGAGCCATTCCCTAAAGAAGACAAATCATAATCCCAAAGGGTATAATATCTGATCTTGGCTTTAGAGGGGAAAAAAAGGTAACACAGATCTAGATCTTAAAATAGCAAACCAAATGAGAAAAGGAGAGAAATGAGGCAGAGAAAAGCCAATTTTACCTGCTTTACATCTCCAGTCCTGACATTCATTAGTATTTCTGTGATAACTCAAAAGCCATTAATTTCTTGCAACCTACACTAATCCCTTTGTAGAGAGATAATGGATGCCTATTCTCAGTTATCTATCTTTTCTGATAATGCAATAAGGGAGGTAGTGCTGTTAGAGACACTGCTGCTACCCCTCCCCCTCTCATTTCCATCAAGCGCTGATGGTAGGTAGTTCAATCTTTTCCATAATAAGACTCATAACCATGCGTCCCTCCGTCCCCATCTGTCCTGTGACCCAATGGCTCAGCTACGCATCCCTGAGTAAAATAAAAACTACCTTTCTTGCTTTTAGCTAGGAATTTTTCTCTCCTTTTCTTTCCTCCCTGCAAGCTTTCTATAATAGCAAGCATGAATTAGAAATTCTGCTTTAATTGGGTCCAAGCCAGCAGCAAACCTGATTAAAAACTCATCTCTCTCTGGCTGTCCAAGCTAGGGTGGTAGCTGCCAGTTTGGGTGGACCAGGTTAGAAGTCCTGCCTGGGTGTCTCAAAAGTCCCCTCACCTTCTCAATGCAGAGTAAGGGTAGAGAATGTATTGTGTTTCCAGATTTTTCCCCCACCTGGCTCAGCCCTCTCTAAAGAGGTACATTAAACTGAGACAGAAGAGATTGGTGCTGATCATAGGAAATGGCCCATTTTATAGGCTGCAGTCTGTAGTGTTAATTTCTTGAAAAAGAACAGTCAAGAAGAGAGCAAACGGGATCAGAAAGCTATCCTCTGGGGTGCGTGTTCCTCTCTGGAGGGTCTAGTTATATCAGACCTTACTAATATTTCCTGTGGGAAGTACTGATGTCTTTGAAATGTGGAGGGCGGAAGAACGACCAGTTCTCTTTAGCCTCTAACAACTGCTACTTTCTGTTTCTATCTTAAGTTTATTTTTAATATTTGGCTACAGACAAATCACAAGGTATATATTTAAATCTAAGCTTTCATTAATTTATAGTTCAACTTTTATTCCCCCAGACCACATCATTTCAACTCATTTAATTAACGTCCCACACATTATTGTAAATTGTTCAATTTCACAAATGAGTAATGTGAAATCTATCTTAACTAATATCATAAATGATTCCGATGGAACCACTGACAAGGATTATCACTATTTCCTCAATTAAATAGGAAAAGCTGATCAAAATGAAATCACTGTACCCAAAAATTTCATATTGAAACCATGAGTAATTCCTTGTGAAAAAGAGGAAAAAAACCCCGACCCACCCCTGAATTCATTTCCCCACTGCGGTCCACTTTGGCTGGTACGAAGACCCGGTCCAGGTCCTCTGCAGTGAAAACCCCTTCTTCCTCTTCTCGCCGTCCTGCAGTAGCAGTGCCGCAGTTTAAGGACAACTGCTTTACTGCAGAGGAAGGAGGGCACTGTCCCCATCATGCGCCTCATTCATCTCTGTACGGCCAATCTGCCAGAGTTCCTCTTTTGCTATTATTTCCTCTACCTGTTCTCAGAAAAGTCTCCTTTCTCATGGCCACCACCTTAATCAAGGTTTGCTTGTTTGTTTTTTATTGTGGTATAACTGACATATAACATTTTATTAGTTTCAGATGTACAAGTCAGATGTAATGATCCAATATTTGCATATATTGTGAAATGATGCAAAGTATGTCTAGTTAACATCCACCAGCATACATAACTACAAAACATTTTTTTCTTGTTATGAGAACTTTTAAGATGTATTCTCTTAGCAACTTTCAAATATGCAATACAGTATTAACTAGAGTTGCCATCCTGTAATTTACGTACCAATGACTTTTTATTTTATAACTAGATAGTTGTACCTTTAAGACCTAATTCAGGTCTTAAATGAGCTCCTTCCCCTAGTCCTCCTCCTTCCTGGCCATCTCACACACTGTTACCAGCGTCATGCACAGCCCCTCCCACCCAGTAAAGTTCAAACTCCTTAAGACATTTTATTATGGAAAATTTCAAACACACTCCAAAGCACGTAGAAGAGTAAAATAAACACCCAGGGACCTATCCTTCAGCTTCGGAAATCAAGTTTCTGCTATTCTTGTTTCGTATCTCCCACCCTTCTCTGACTCTGCTTTTTTGGTTGTTTTGGCTTCAATATTTGATAGCAGATTGCTAACAATTTACCATTTCTAGTGTAAATACTTCAGGGGGTATCTCTAATCTGACAGATAAAACTTGAATACACACACACACACACACACACACACCCCGCTTTCACACCCAACAACATGAATAATCCTCATCTAATCTACAGTCTATATATGATATTCCCAGATTGTCTAAAAAATTTTTTTATACAGATGGTTTGTTCAACTTAGGTTCAAACATTGATTTGGCTAATACATCTTTTAAATCTCTTTAAATCTATAACAGTTCTCCTTTTTTTTTTTTTTTCATGCCACACATGTTTATTGAAGAAATGAACTTGTCCTGTAGAACTTCTCACATTCTGACCTTGGCTGAGTGTATCCTCGTGGTATTGTTCAAATGTTCCTCTGTTCCCCCTGTTTTCTGCCAACTGCTATTTAGATCTTGAGGTTCATTTAGACTTTTTTTTTTTTTTTTTTTTTTTTTTTTGGCAAGAACATGTCACAGGAGGTTGTCCCACTTCTAGGGGTATTAAGATTGGTTAGGGGGTTCAGAAGATGTTAGTCTGATCCCTCCATTGTAATTTTCCCCAGCGACCCTTTCACACAATGCAGGTACTTTTCTCCACTCCCCCATATTCCAGCCAGATGACCTGATGCTATTTCCAGCACTCACCCCTCCCAACCTTTGTGCATGCTCTCTCACGGATCTCCCTGTCTAGATCTCCCCTCACCTCTGCGTGGGTGTGTTTTCCGCATACGAGGGCGAGAACAAAATCTTACCTACTCTTTTTTAAGATTCTACTTATTTGTCAGAGAGACAGAGCACACATGCACACAGGCAGAGGGAGCAGCAGGCAGAGGGAGAGACAGGCTCTCCGCTAAGCAGGGAGCCCACGTGGGAGTCGATCCCAGGATCCCGTGATCATGACCTGAGCCAAAGGCAGACATTTAACCGACTGAGCCACTCAGGCGTCCCAATATCTTACTGTTCTTGAAGACCTTCTTCATTCCCTCTAGTTAAAAACAACTGTCTTCCCCTGAACCCCCAAGGCTCTACGGCTATACTACTCTGATGACTCAGATTTCAGATACTATTTCACATTTATCACATATGTATTAAATTATGTAACAAAATTATTAAAAAATCAGAAAGAAATGTAAAATGCAACAACAAAAAGTTTCTGCCTCCATACTCCAGCACCCACAATCCTCCTGTCCAGACTATATACTATTTGATATGAAGCCCTCAGACAACATATGAATGTCATAAATAATATGGGGAGGTATATTATATTTACTTATATAATTATATAA